CTTTGTATATCTCGATGATCGCGTTCAGTTGCTCGTGTAATCGTAAATCTATATACTTTATCACGTTTCGTTCATTATACTTTGTACAGCGTCTTCGCCGCTTCTCTTTTTCATGTGGAGTGTGCTTTAAAGTGTTTATTCTCTGTGGTGCCGATGCTGAACTGAATTTCATGCGGCGCATTTCTACATTTTCCTTAGAGATTTTAGCTTTTTTTCGACGTTGTTACACGCCGCTGCCCTCGACGAGCTGTTTATAGTGTTCAACCAAAAGTTTTAGCTTCACACAGTACGCTATTTCTTTTGCAAGGTCGCTTTTTTTTACCACGTCACATTATGTGATTTTTTTGTCGCCAATTAAACTTTTAGCACTGGATATTTGTTTACGTTATTGTTCTGTAGTTCAGCGTTTCGCTTTCGAATCTTCTAAATCTGTGCTCTGATGAAGAAATCTGATTATATACGTTAAGGAAGTTAAACTAACCCGACATCAAACAAAAAAAGTAAGTGAATTTGTGTGCTACTGTGATCACTGTTGACAAACGGGGTGCGTCAGTTTCGTCCGTTTTACTCTCTCCAACTTTATTTTGTAAACCCTGTGAGGTAGTCGTGCATTTCTTGTTAAAAAATTACACCGAATGTTTCAAAATTTGAGAAAGGTTGAACACAAACCCACGAAATGCCGAGGACTTAAACGTTATTGCAGCGTTCGACGGACTTACAATAAATGGCAGAGAAAGTTAAGATTGCGAGCAAGCAATTTGGTCTAAAATCCTCACTGACTAATACCATAAAGTTGACACCGTCCAGCAAGCAGATTCTAACCAAAATTTCAGTATATGGCGTTGAATTTCTGTTAAGTCACCGCTCTCATAACTTGGTACCATCCTAGATGAAAGTGGTGAAAAAAAACATGCGCTGACAAAATGGCTTGAGTGACAAGACCGACTAGAATATGGCGAAGCCGTAGCATTCGGAACTAAAATTCAGGGAGGTCTCATCTCTAATCTGGTTTGTTGCAGTCTGCTTATTTGGAAGTTGGTCCATGGAGGAGATAGGACATCAGTTCAATGAAACGTTTGAAATGTGGGCCTGCAGATGGTTATCGCAAAAATCCTGGAAAGGCTTAAGTACTTGTTACTAAGAATTTGTTAAAATACTTGTACTAAGAATTTGTTTTTTAAAACCCTGGGTACATAACGCTACCGTTAGGAAAATTGCAATATTTCGGCCGCATCATGAGGAACAGCTGGGATTGTCCGAAGAAAATGTTACTGCGGGTTCGAGACCAAATAGGGTATTCTGAGTAAATTCGCAGCTGATAGAGGCTTAGCATCAAGAATCGCAAAGGTACTACATTATTATTACCCTGATCAATAAATTTCAGTCACTTCCAACAGCAAATCACCTGAGCTGCACAGAAAACCTTAAAATGCAAAAAAAAAACAAATACAGATGCGAAATAAAAATTAGTGTTAATGTTTATGTGTAATAGTGGCGAATGTGATGGTTTAGCGTAAATGATGATTATGCGTCCGAATTCGTGCTGTACGATTCCCAGACTGTACCTGAGCGACGGGTTCTGTCTGTACTTGCCTTCACTGAGTTAAAAGCAGATAACAGGCAGTTGACACGTAAAAGTGCATTAAATTTCCTCTCGCAGAAGGCGTAAGCTTTTGAAAATTACCAGATGCTTGTTGGTACTGGTTACGTGCTATCTGTTCTAAGTCGACGGGTGCTTTCATACTCTCGAAAATGGTGTACTGACTAAGAAATGTACATTATTTGAGTGCAGGTGGTACTGGCAGAGAAATGTTTCAGGGTAGCACTCACCAGCGATCATAGATGGAATGTAGAAAGAATTAATTAGCTAGAGCAACACTGCGACATGGAAGCGTAGCAGATGTGCAATGATGAAGAATAAACTGAATGGTAGATAACTGTTATTTACTCTGTGTACTTACCCTTACTTGTGGTCACCGGTGCTGGATATTGCTCAAAACAGTGTAATCCCTGAGACAGGCGGCAGAATTGAGGTTTTTCAAAAATCTGTCGTTGAGATCGACGAGGTGTCGAGTCAGGCTGTCCGGGATACTTCTTTGATGAAAACTTTTTAGGTGGAAAGATCGCAGTGAATTGATGGTTTGTTAACTTTTTACCTCTCTCCGTTTCAGTGCTCACTTCAGTACAGTGAAAGATCTGTAGAGTCGATACAACCTGTTGTTAAAATGCTGTTTTAGATGGCCCAGTGTGAGTTTTCCTTTGGAGTAAAGTAACCTGGTTTTTATGTTTAACAACCTGAAGACCGGATGTCGCGTTATACTGCCTGTTATTTTGCTGTTTTCCGCATAAGCGATTTCAGCACGCCATGACAACAGAATATTTGAGCATTTGCTATGCTAAGTGCAGATTGCATCATGTTACTGGCTAGGTTAATGCCTTACTCGTTATCAGTGGCATTTTACATGCCCTCTTTTTATGATTTCGCAGGTAGTGTAATTATTTTGCGTATGAGTAAGAAAACTGATCACTGCACCGTAAAATCTAGTTTTAGAAGAACTAGTGCATATTAGCATATTAATCTTTTGATCCTGTATCTGTTACGACGATTTTAATAGTTTTGCTCTAAGCAGAATGGGCAATCACTGAACAGATGCAGAATGCATTATCAGGCAATGTTGTGAATGAGCGAGCACATAAAGACTCGAATTCATCTTTGATAGATATCTTTAAAGTGAGAGTGAAACGGTGAACATTCATCGGGAAACTCGTTTCTTATAGAGCTACATATTAACGTACATGAAGCCAATGATTTCGGACAGCTCTTAGGCCGTCACTCTTGACCCCAGACAAAGACCAAATTGTCCCTCAAGGGGAGCAACCACTACAGAATGAGGATGTGCGGTAAAGCGTGAAAAATAATAGCGGCCGTGACAGAACTTTCTCCGTAGGCACTGAATTTGATGCCTGCCTCGGCAGTAGGCTGTGGCTGCCCTAAGCTGGATCACAATACAAACCCTGAACCGAACTGGCATTGCGTCGCTGCTTTCGTAATCATTGCTGTCCATGGCGCTGTTCTCAGGACTGCTTTATGTAATTTGAGGTTCTTTCTAAGTTGAGTTAAGTCTTGACATGTCTGATGACGTTGTACTTAACCAAAATTGAAGGGCTACTACCACCATCAGGATTAACACGTTTTGTAGATAATTATTGCCCAAGCGAAAGCCACTTATTGACGTTTTACCATAGACAAGAAAGAATGGAAAATAGGTTCATTTTTGACACCGCCTGATAGAACCATGCTTATACCGCAAACAACACGCTGTACGTCTCTCTGCTTTCTCGTTGTGGAAATTGTTTACAGGAAAACCGTATTCATTACAATTGACGCAAAAAATTTTCACTGGCAAACTTCTGTCGTTTACTGTAGGCTAAGCGTGGATATTATATCCCGTTCTTCGTGCTACATAGTCTGTTGATTGTCATTTCAGGTTTCTGCGCCTGCAAGGGCATCGTAGGCCTCTGTTAACCTTCTTGCCTTCGTTCTTCTCATTTCTCAGTGTTATTTTCAACACACGTTTCTATATTGCTTTGTGCAGTCTGTAGTTTGTAATTGATGACTGGCTTTCATGCTTAGGATCCTCATTTCGCATCACCATTAGCACGGAGATCACACGCTGATAGAAAACGTTCCAATTTAAGTCCAGGCAGTTTCTCGGATAGCAACGATTCAAGTCTTCCAAAAGTTTCCTCGTCATTTTGACTCTTCTGTTTATTTCGAAGAGGCAGTTCTCCGTTGTGGAGATGAGCTGCCCCAGATTCGCGTAGTTTTAAACGGTACCTTTTCAAGAGATCGTGGAGTCGCGTAATTTTAAACGTGGCGTGAGTCTTCTTCAGGTTGATTTTCAGTCGTGCTTTGACGCTGAGATTCTTCAGCTCTTGGATTCAACCAGAGTTCTTCTGGTAACCTTGAGAGGATCAGAATATGCAGACTGTCGATGGCTTAAGTGCTGCACATTTAAGTATGTAATATCATAAAACCTCTTCTAGGGCTACCGTAAATGAATTCAATGATACAGCATTACTCGTCAGGCACCTTTATCGATTTTCAACTTTGTATGCGTTTTGGGAAGTTTTGTAATATTAGCGATTGCATTCTAGTAGATCATAGTTATGAGTTCGCTGTATCTATTCTCAATGCTCTGGCTCTTCTGGGCATTCACTGCAGATCAGATGCTGACTGAGTCGACATCCTTCTCGAATACGACGAATCTCAGGCAAAGAGGAAACTTATTTTCACTGTTTGGCTAAATTACTTGCTATACCACCTGGATATGATTTATCACACCAAAACCACTTCTGAATCCTGCTTGTCCATTCTGTTGTACACTGTCAAGTTTTTTTTTGAAGTTTGATCGTCCGTACCTTCGTGAAGTTTTTGTAAAGACGTTTTTGTTGAGACAAAAACAGTTAAGTACTTTATTGTTCATGCACAACAGGTATTATAATGTGATGATTTGGTCGCGTGCTTAAAGAGACCTTTTGCCACAAGAGGCAAAAACTATTAACCGTAACTGAATTGATTTGTCGAACATTCGATCATTTTGAGCAGCCTTCCTGTTTCTGCCACCGGTACATAATAATGTGTTGGTGCATGTTAATTTACATATTAATTGATTCATGGTCGTGTATAATGCTTGTTGTAATATTTGTTTACAGTTTTAAACTATGCTTCTTCATGGCGGTGTACGGCATCTGTTTAACGTGTTACGGAAATTTGGCAACTGTCCGAATTCGAGGTTGAGCGTTTCGCACTTGAATCATCGATCTCTGCTGAAACTCACCGGTCGCGATGCGCTGTCTTTCCTGCAAGGTTTGCTATCGAACGACGTCAGTGTGCTAGAGTCTTCGAGTACCCATCTGTCGCAGTCGCTTCATGCCTACCTCTTGAATCCCTACGGCAGAATCGTGTACGATCTCATTCTGTACGGCAGTACCGCTGAAGAAGAGCGGTGTATACTCCTCGAATGTGATCGACGCATAGTTTCGGAGCTGGGTCGCATACTCAGGCGGTATGTATTGAGGAAGAATGTGAATATCCAGAACGATGACCGCGGTTTGTTTGCTTTGCTCCCTTCCTCCGAATCTGAGTTTCAAGTCAAGAACAGTCTAGAAATTTACGCTGATCCAAGGTCGCCCTCACTCGGCTGGCGACTTATTTGTGACGTCGCGAAGATGAATAGCATGGGCGGTGTCAAATCTGTTGATTTGCAAGAGTACCATAGAAAGAGGTCAGCGAACCTTTTGCTTTTAACGTCTGATTTTCGACATCCTATTTTAGATGTATGCTCGGAATTCCCGAGGGCATCGACGACCTTCCTCCTGGCGCTTGCTTTCCGTTTGAGTCAAACGGTGACTACCTTAACGCGATCAGCTTCGACAAGGGATGTTACATTGGCCAAGAATTAACGGCACGGACTTACCACACGGGGGTGGTACGAAAACGACTGTTTCCTATAGTATTTGATTCAATGGACGAAGTGTTTCTCGAGCAAGTCCGCGCAGGTAGTCATGTGCTGATGACCTTCCAGAACGAGTACATGGGCAAAGTCAGAAATTTGTACAGTTCCGTAGGGCTAGCACTGGTGAATGTGGATAAAGCATTGACGAAAGCCAGGGTCTACGTCCAACTTACGGAACAAATTGTGATTGCGGCTTCTGTTAAGATTCCGTGTTGGTTTAGGCAACCGGGGACTGAACAGGTACATGCGTAGGTTTTCGTTCGAAATCTTTGTCAACTCTCGACTTGTTCAACACTTTTTTCTGTATGTTAACGGTCATTGATTTCTTTGTCTGTTACGAACGTGTCTGAACAGCTGACAGTGCCAAGTAAACTTTATAATGCAGTTGTTGACCACTTTCTGTAATTCATACCGATTCAGTGCCCATGTTTGAAATAAGAAGTGTTCTGAGAATTTGGTTTTGCGATGCAGTGGTTGTACGCACAGGCATGATTCACCAACGAAGGTCTTTGTTCTGTGCCGACGTTTCACATGGCAACCACATCGTGCTCTCATCCGAAAACACAATGGCAGGAATAAAACGGTGGCATTGCGTTGCAAACAGCCCAGTGCAAAGTACCGAATTTCAAACTACTTTAATACATTGAAACCAAGATGCGACCGTACATAAAACTCAAAGCAAATCAAGACGAATCATTAGCTAAAGCAGGCAATATATTACATTTCGTGTCTTGAGTTTATCGAACGAACAGGCACAGTCGTTGCATACTTGATTTTACTTAACAGTGATCTTCACAGATACTTCGATTAGTAATTGATGCAATCTTCATCTGTCCAAAGTGGAGACATCCAGTATGATTTCACTTTCATAATCCAGTCCTCATCTCAGAATGGCTTACTGTTTATTGTGGCTGTTCGCGATGGTTCTAATGTGTTCTGTTGTCCTCAGCGCATGAGCCTCGATTTCCCGCAAAGTACTTAGTATCAAAAGAATTACAGTATTTTGCATGTAGAATAATTTTTTTCTTCAAGAAGTTAAGTTGAGGCTGATATCATTTGCATAATGATGCATTTAGAGAGGTTGCTTTTCTGAAAAAGAAATTGCAAACTTTATCTTCGAGCAAAAGACGGATATCATGCGATACACCTGAGATACATAGATTCATTATTATACACATGTATTGTACCCTGTTGGATGGGCTGTGCTTAGGACGAACAAATTAACTTTTTGTCAGTGGCTGATTTGTACTGAAGAAGCAGCAAAGAAAATGGAGGCTCACACCCACAACATTTCTTAACGTTTGACAAACAATAAAAGCCTTGGCACGTAGCTCGAGATACGAGCATTCGAAAACTCATTCATTCGAGCAGATTTCGTCATCCAAAGTCGCTACACACAATCTGACGTATTCAGAAACACAGATGTTTCCGTTCAGAGTAGTGATAGGTGTTTGCCGGTAAAGGCTGAAATTATTTCGTAATTCAGCCCATGCCGGTACCTCCTCATCCTTGATGGAAGGGTATTTGAACTCGTCCTTCAGGTTGCTTCCACCTTGGATTCTTTACACCTTGGAGGCACGGGAAGGCCTTCCAGAATACCTTGTTTGCCGCCAGGAAATTCGGCTCCAGAGCCTCACCGAACGTTTCCCGGGAGTCAACGTTCGCTTTGGCCACTGTCGCCTTGCGCACTTCATCGTATGGCGTTGGAGTTGACGGTTCTGTGCTTCCAGTCCACCTTCCAAATGCAGCCTTTCTCTCGCTGAGGGCTAGTTGAACGTGTCATGCCCACTCATATTTTCGCTTCAGACTTCCAGGCGGCAAGCCTACCCATTTTAAACCTGAGCTCGGTTTCCACATCAGCGGTCATCACCGAAATTTGTTCGAACCGTCGCTCGATGATGTCTGCAAGTTGCCCTCGTATTCGCATAAGATATTTTTTTCTATTTGATTCTCTGGTTGCTTCTGCCACCAGATCTTCGTAAGGTACTCCATTTCTTACAGCGCAGCGTGCCACGGGCCAACAACGGGGTGGTGATCGGTTGAGAGCTCTGCGCCTCTCTTAATGAGAACATGCATTAGCAAGC